ATACATGAAAAAACTTTCAACCGTAATCCAAAACATTGTTAGTTTAGAGTGGTTTTTCACCTAATCATTTTAGAGATCGTACTAATAAACACTTCCCCCATAAATTAATACTCTCTCTTTATATAAGAAATATAATATGATTTCTTTAATATAAGAAGTTACATCCCATCCAACATAATATATTTAGACAAAAATGAAAACTTATTAGTTCTTGGGGATAGAATAATTTAGTTGAGGGACCCCACCCCAATCTTGATTTAGCAGCTAAAATTAAACAAGCATAGATTCAATTTTAACTAGTTTCACGTACAAATTTTTGTGATCCTCTTTTGACATAATAAATAATGATGAAAACATTGAAAAAGTAAATATAAACAACTAATAAGAGAGCAAATAACCCCCACTTTTAATCATCTACCTTAACTCTTGAGAGAAGAGAGAAGATGGTTAAGGGAGCAAAACAGAAAAGAAAGAGAAAAGAGTCGAGTGAGCGAAACTAATTAACACTCCTCAAAAGGTACAGCTTTAGGGAATAAATAGTGCAAATTTGGAATCTATTTCTCTTTACATCTAAATATAAAGATAAAAAAAATTAAATAATTAAACAATTGAAATAGATAAACTAGATAAACTTGTAGATTGAATTGATATTTGGACAAAAAGACAAAAGATTGAAGTGATAATTAGTAAAACTAACTTTCAAATCACTATGTTAAGTATGAGGCCTAAAATAAAAGTTAAGATGTATAAGAAATAAATAAATAAATAAAAAGTTAAGCAAATCAAATAACAATTAACAACATACATAAAGAAACCAAATCACTATGTTAAGTATGAGGCGTAAAATAAAGTAAAGATGTATAAAAAATAAATAAATAAAATAAAGTTAAGCAAACCAAAAAACAATTAACAACATACATAAACAGACGAAATTTATTTTTTCAAAAAAATTCAACAGATGTATACTTTTTTTAAAAGTTTTAAAAAATTTACACATTTTTTTTTTATTTAAGAACAATATTTTGTAGTTTAAACTTTACAAAACACTAGTTACTAGATGTAGTATAATATTTTTTAAATATTTCTTTTAGTATTTATGGTTACAGTGTTTCAGGTCAGTTTTTGTGCGCCTCAAAACTATTCACTTTCAGTTGATATTAAGGCTATAACCCTCACATCAACTTGATACATTCAAGGAAATTAATTTCCTTAAGTGCTAGTTCTAAGACTTAAATCTTGGACCTAAGTTACAAGATAATGCTTGTTTACCAATGGCTCTAGTAGATCTGACATCAGGTTATAATTTTTTTAATATTAATTAGGGTCTATTTTGATCTAATGACTTATCTTTTTGTAGTTTATTAGTGTTTGTTTGAACTATAAAATATATTTTGTTTATGAGAAGGCATTCACTTACAAATTATACTCATACAAAATCTTGACCATTTATCTCCACTTTCAATGGTTGAGGTTTATCATGACCTTTTAGATGAAAATAATAATTACCTTTAATAATGTGAATAAATCTTAATGATTGAAAGTAAAGAGACGGAATGATTGAAATTTTATATAAGTATAGTGTGTAAGACTTGTATGTAAATGAATCTTCCTCTTTGTTTATTATTATTTTTTTATTCACAATTTGCAAGAGAGAATTGGTGTAGAATTTAGAAACCATTTATTATGTGACAAAAAAGAGAAATAAAATAGAGGAATTGACATCTTCATTCGATTTTCTTATCACTCTCACAAAGGTTTGCTTTTTATTTCTCTCCTTTTTTTGGTTTTTGAGAATTGATAGGAAAAAGAATGGAAAACTTAGGGTTAGTTTTTTCTTTGGGAATAAGCTATTTGAATTTATGCTTCTTTTCGTCTTTTGTTTTTTTGATTGTTGCAAGATCTTCTTCATCAAATTCTAGTTGTTTTTTTCTCATACATAACAAGGTTTTGTCTTTTCTTTGTTTTGAAACCTTGTTTGTGAAAAATTCTATCTCAAATCTTAAGTTGATTCATCTTGCTTTTTCTTCTTCATTTCTTATTGATCAATTGATTTATCTTTTAGTCCATGCAATGAAGGTGACAAGTAGCTTAATAGTTGAAACAATGGTTTCCTTTGAGATGAATGACCACAAGAGTGAGTGGATATTGATTTTATTGGTTCTTTGATGCTTCTTGTGCAATTATATAATATGTCTCAATGTAAATTGTTAAGGGGAAAACAAAAACCTCTTGTTTGGATTGCTTAAATAACTATATAACTTCTTAATTGAATTGTTTGCACTAGTAATGCATTGAGCTCCTTTGTGAAGGTGTAGTAAAGTGAACAACTAATATGTAGATTGGTCTAAGCAATGAATTTATCATTAATAGGAGGAATTACGCCTTTTTCTCACAAGGATCTAGTTTCAGTATTTCCACCTTTTTCACTTGGAGGCACTTTTATTGTTGTTTAAGATTCAAACCATTAGTAGCTATGAATTGTTTGGAATTAGTCTTAGGGGAGTTTATGCTTAGATATGATATAGTATTCCTTTATCATCCTAAACAATGTTTGAGTTGATTTCATGTTAAATGTAATTGTGATTACCCTTGTAATTGTTTGGAAGTGTTTGGTGGCAAGGAGTTTTTTAGCATATTTACATTTAAGATAAGTACCCTTTTTTATTGGATCTATAGTTAGTTTATAATTTATATTATTGAAGAAATTGAGGTAGCACCTAATATGTTCATTTTTGTTTTGTAGCTTTTATGTCTATTAATATTTGCATCTATGGGTGGAAAAGAGATTGGGCTAGGATTGATGGGATTTGGCATATTTTTCTCATTTTTGGGAATCATATTTCTCTTTGACGAAGGATTAATTGCCAGGGGAAATGTGAGATGCTTTTGTAGCTTTTTTGTGATTCATTTCTATATGTGTAACACCCCACATACCTTAGTGAATAATTTAAAAATTAGTGTCCTTTAGTTTATAGTTTTAGGGATTAAATTAATTGGATTTAAAGTTTGGGGGTTTTAAGTAAAATTTAGTAGAAGTGGAATGACCACAACTCAATTATCCCAAATTTTCTTAACACATGGCATTGTCCCAACCAATTTTTTTTTCTTGTCGGTGGAAGCTTGGATAAGCCTCCAGAAGGCTCCCAAAAGCCCCATTTTGTTTTCCTATGCCTTCCTCTTCCACCTACATCCTTTTCTTCCTCCTTTCTCCAACCAAGGTTAAGGTGCTTTTGTTAGGTAAGTATAAGTTTTAGTTATGAATCTTGGGTTAGAGTTTTGGATAGTTTAAATTGGTGAGATTTGACTTTAATCCTTTGGTCTATAAGATTTTTGGGTATTAAACTTTTATTAGAAATATCCTTAATTTTGGGGTTTATATGGGAAAGATAGTGAGTTAGTCCTTTTCATTGTTTGATTTGGGTGTGAACTTTTGTTGCAAGAATTATAAGTACATTGTATTGTTCACGATGACTGTTCACGATGACTGTTCACGCACTATGCTTTGATCTCTTTCAATAGGAAGTCCTAATATTATTTTGGACATATTATGAATTTGTTTGGCATGCGTATGTGTTTGTGGCTATGGAGTAAGTGGACCTAAGCTTAAAGTTTCGGGTATTCAGTGGACCCTTTGGGGTATTTAGTGGACCTCTGCGCAGTAGGGTTAGTACTGTGATTAACTCCGGTACAGTGTTGCTAGCTCACCTCAGTGGACTCCATAGCATTGTGTGATTTTCAATTTTATGCATTGCGCTTGTGACATCGTATTTGTGAGTATATGATTTTAGTATATGAATTTAACTTAAATGTCATTGATTATTACTTGACATTTGTGCTTATGATTTGAGATATTAAGTCATTATTTAAATAGTGAGAATTATAATATTATGTGATTTGATTCCGTTGTGTTTTATGCTCTTTGTGTCGATAGATCTAAGGGTCTTAGGACCCAATTTTATAGCTTAAACTTATTACTTACTGGGCTGTTAGCTCATAAACTTATTTCAGATCAGTAAATCAAGGTAGCAGCCTCTTGGTTTAGGAGCTTTTGGCATGGGACTTGCATGCTCGTTGTATGTACCAGCTAAGGCCTCGTGTTTTCGATAGGGAGGCAGATCGATGTTTTACCAAAACCATGACTCAGCTTTTGTTTTTGAAAAGCTTTGAAGAAGAATTTGCCTCGTATAATTTTTGTGTAAATTACCTTTATGTATAAATCTTTAAATTAATTATAAATGAGCTTAATTCAGTTTATCTTATAACTTTGAATATTTTGGCATTTTCCAATATATATATGATATTCTTTTTATTAAATTGATTTTCTGAATGTGGGTTTTCTTTTGAAGAAATATTTTATATTATAAGTGTTTTTACTTCCGCTTCCTTTTTTTTTTTTATCTTTTTTTTGTGAATTTTTTTGGGCTTAGGGTTGCTTGGGGGGTTTTTTTTTATTTTGTTTTTCTTTTTTTTTTTTTGCCATTTCAATTTGGTTTATTTTTTTTTTTTTTTCTTTTTTTGTTTGTTCAATTGTTTTTCTTTTGGGGGTTGCTTACCATTTGTTTTGAGTTTTCCCAGGCATTTTTTTTTTGAACCTTCAAGTTTTCAGGTTTTGTTTTTTTTGGCCTTTGTTTTCCTTAACCCGTTCCGTTATTTCTTAACCATTTTTTTTTGCTTTTGTTTTTTTTTTTTTTTTTTTTTTTTTTTGGATATAAATGCACTTTCCTTTTTTGTTTGCTTACAATTATTGTTCTTTCATTGCATACAAGGAACAACATCCTTTGTTATTAGCTTCTTTTTTGTTGTCATAGGATGGCCTATACTTGGGATGATATTGTAAGTGTATGGGTTTGTCATACCTTTCAAGTCTATTATTTATATTTATATATTTATTTTCATACTTTGACATTGATACTTGGCTTTGGAAAGGTTTGGAGCTTCTCATATTACCCCTTTTTTTTTTCTTTCAATAATGGGTTTTGGCCAACACTTGCAAATTTTCTATAGAAGATACCTATTCTTGGTTGGGTTTTGCAACAACCATATGTAATATAGATATGTTTAGTTTAAAATTATAATCATTTTCTTTAAAAACTTGCAAATATCTATTAATTGCATATTGCATGTTTCCACTTACTCCTTGTTCATTGGTTTGCATGATTTAAAATCAATTAAATTGAAAAAGCAGCAAAAAAAAATCTTAAATATGAATGGCTAGATTAGGGGTGTCATAAAGGAGAAGCTAATTATCCAATCAAAGTTCAAGTTAGTAAAATTGCAATAGTACAAATGTTATTATAAAGAATTAAAGTTTGAAATTGTTTTATTATGAAAGTTATATAACAAACTGAACTACCCATTCCATCTTCTTGTTATAAAGGAGACTTAGGATTCAATGGTATGAATATGGAGGTGACTGGACTTATATTTGGAATTTTCAACTAGAAAGCAAAAATTAGAATTCCCAAAAGAGTTATTAGATTATTGTTGAAGATACCTATTTTGTTATATTATGTTGCTATTGTTTCCATGGCATTTTGCATATAGTGCATTAGATGCACCTATTACTTAATGTATGACATAATTCTTGTTAACATGAACCTTTTCTGTACCATCTTTAAATTAAAAAGTTATCTTAACTAAGTTTGTTGCTTCTTTTTTTGTTTTTTGGTACAGTTCTTTGACCATTATTGAGGCAAAAGGATGCCTATTTAATTCCACTCTTTTGAGAAGATGGAAATAATAGACGTGACTAGTTTTCTTGTAAGTGTTTGTAGGATACTCGTTAGAATAAGACTAAGATTTTTCCAAATTTCATTTTATTTTGATTGTGATGTAAAAGTTTAGCCAACATTGTTGATAAAAAAAAAAGAGAGAAAGTTTTAAAAAGCTTTTTTTAATAGAAGTTGTGCTTTATGCTATGCACCTTTTGAAGGCTTTTGGCTTCCACTAGTGGCATCACTAACTAAAATATATTTTCGTTATGTAGACCCAACCATTGAAGTTGTATTGCACATCCACAACCAGTATTAGCAATCTAGGACTATTATTGTGTTGATGGGGTCAATTTACTCCAATGGAGTAAGTATTTTCCTTGAGCAGATCTTGAATGACAATTTGTTTCTTGCAATCTTAATAACAAAAAATTGAGACTAGCAAAGTTAAATCAATAAACTTTCAGATTTAATCTTTCTTTTATGCCTATGAATAATCTTATAGGTTTGCGTGATGCAGATTTACTAAGTATGTCTTTAAACAACTTCTTATTGATAATAACTACCATTCACTAGAAAGATAGTTAGATCTTGGGTTATGCATAGAATTTTGATTTCATTGTTCGAGATTTTTATTTCAAAATGCCTTTTCTATTTTGCAGTTGTTAAAGATGGAGTTGCAAAACATATCTTGGTTTGATGGACACTATTATGTATGTAAGAACTAAATTGTATTGACTTTAGTTTGTAGCTATTTAATCAATCATTCATCAACAACTTCTTGTAAAGTTTGCTTTGAATCACATTCTTTTGTTTTCCTTTCTTTGCCTTACAACTATTTAGATATTATACTATTGTTAGTTGAAGATTATCTCAGTTCACTCCATCATACGTACAACCCAACATTATACAGTTATGTACTACTTTGGGACCTAGTTAACATGTAATAAAAGATTTATGTGTGAGCAATAATTTTAATCATAAAGAACAGTACAAAAGCACCATGCATATGAATCCCAACCTAAGGCATAGATATATCATCATACGATCGAGAGTATTTAGTGATCAATAGAACACTAGAATGAAACATGGAACAAAGGTAACCTTCTCTTGGAACTAAATGAATATATATACCAAGAAAAAAGGTGAGCAGAAGATGATATGTTGCCAATAAAAACCCTGTTAAGCTCACAGTCAAAAGGTATTGAACATTCTTATCCTACCTTTCACAAAAAAGACATGTAATCTCTTCTATGAATTAAAATTACAACTGGCTTTAAGTGACATGGTCCCTTTGGTAGTGCCTCATGGTGAACTACTTTAGTGAAATTTATGAGTTGGCATTTTCTTATGCAAGTTTAGGAAAGTGACCAAAGAGAACCAACTTGCATAGTCTTTAGTTTTCTGAGTAGTATTAGTATTGACAATTTGTTTTGGTTACATCGTGTTTAATTAAAATTTGTAAAGATTTCAATAGTATATATTCCGATTATAAAATATATTTGTTATTAGTAGTGCTACAACCCTATTCACAGAAAAATAGAATATTTTATGTTTTGAATATTTACCATTAAGATGTTTTTACGTTAACTTTTGCACACTTTAAAATTAATCATTTTCACAATCTTAATGAGGTACCTTTACATCGGTTTAGTGCATTTAGGGCTTGTTTGGCTTATTAAGAAGAAATCTATTCATTGAAGAGCTAAAGGATTAGTCAATGAAACAAAGATTTTGAGAAGAAAAAAAATAAGAATTTTATTTTTTAAGAAAAATATAACCACTTACAACAGAAATGTAACATACCTAGTTATTTTGATATAATCATGTATAAAATCAATATATTTGATATATATCTAGGAAGATTTATTTTTTTGGGGGATTTTTGACCTAAAAATAGTAAGATATAATCATTAATTATATTCCTTATAATTGATTCCATTCTCTTTGTTTTCTAATTCAAAATCCCAAAAGCAAGCCAAGCTGTCAAATTTGTACGCTTCCTTGGAAAGTTTTTCCAGGTTCTTGATAAATCAACTAGGCTTTCTTGTTTGTTACATTAAAATTTTAACACTAAATTTAATTTATAAAATAATATTTATTTATTAGCAAATTTAATTATTGGGTTGAAGAAAGAACAGAATTTAAATGCCTAGTCCAACTCCCTATCCGATCCGTTTAGTTGAAGCCCACGGGCCCCGACCTTGTCAGCCGACAGTTCTAGATGGAAATTTTGACGGGAAAAGGCAGAAAATGGAAAAGTCATTTGCAACTCACCTTGGGCTATAGTGAAGCCCATGATTCGTACCCTTTTCACACTTACACAAAATTCCTGGTTAAAGTCCGACTAACTCATTTCACTTGAGAAAAAAGACTGTAAAATTTAATCCAACTGTTATAATTGGAAAATAAAATCAGCCAAAAATCAAAAGACAGAGAAACTAGAGAGAGAGTTGGAAAGCAACAAACTCAACTGTTTCCGATCCAGGAACCACCGTAGACGGCACCACCACCACCTCCTCTTGTCTTCCTCCTCCAAACCAATTCTTTCATTTATACACACAGAAAAACATAGACACACAATTCATTCAAATCAGGCTACCTCAATTTGGTAGTCTTGGGTGTGCGGAAGCAAAATGTCTATCAATATGAAAACCCTAACCCAAGCCTTGGCTAAGACCGCAGCAGTGATCGAGAAAACCGTAAGCACCACCGTGCAGGAGGTGACTGGTCCTAAACCCCTGCAGGACTATGAGCTCCTTCACCAGATCGGCTCTGCGGGGCCCGGTCTGGCTTGGAAGTTGTATTCGGCTAAAGCGCGGGATGGAACTCGACCTCAACAGTACCCGATCGTGTGCGTTTGGGTGCTGGATAAGAGATTGCTGTCGGAGGCGAGGGCGAGGGCTGGGCTGTCTAAGGCGGCTGAGGATGCGTTCCTTGATATCCTACGTGCTGATGCAGGGAAGATGGTGAGGTTGAGGCATCCAGGGGTTGTGCACGTGGTGCAGGCGTTAGATGAGAGCAAGAATGCCATGGCAATGGTCACCGAACCTCTGTTTGCTTCTGTAGCCAATGCACTTGGGAACACGGAGAATGTGGAAAAGGTGCCTAAGGATCTCAAGGGGATGGTAGGTAGTGGGCTGACTATGTATAATGATTTTCTTCTTTCTAGTTGCATAATTGCAATTCCGTTGATTTTGCTAGGTATCTTGATTTAATAATTTATGATGGTTTTATTTAATTTCTTGAGTGTGGACTTGATTTGGATGAACTCCTATATCAATAGGTGAGAATGAGCACATTGAGTAGTTCTTAGTGATTCAGTGTGAAGCAGCATTTTTTCATTTTTCTGGTGTCCCATTCTAAATCAGGTTGCTTCTAGGTGACACAGTGATGTGCACTTGAGTGATGCGTTGTCTAGGTTAAATCTCTTGACATCTTCATAGAATCTGAATGGTTCTGTGTAATCCTCAGAGGATTTCAATTTAATCAGTACTCTTGTGAATTTGAATACTTTAAAGTGATTAGTGGATGTACATGTACATATGTGTTGTTTGATTTTATGAATACTCTGACATGATCACAGCACAGAAAAAGAAAGAAAAGGATAATTTATGGAGGGGAAAGGGAAAATCAGGACATCCTGACGTGCAATAATAGTCCCATGATGAATTTGATAAAAATAGGGTCCACACTTACATATTTAATAGTTGTGATTGCACGTCTTGATGTTTTTAATGCCAAGACATCCTGATTTTTCATTTTCTCAGATATGAATTCAGTTAGTCCCAAGTCATTAAATGAATTCCCTTTCTCAATTTATTCAATATGAAGATTGGCTACATAATTATGCTGAAGTTTGTCCCATGCTATGTCACTAGGAGAGATTGTATTCAGTGAATATTCTCCCAAAGCCATTGTAGAAGAGACTGTATGTTTTGCAAGGTGGGATAATGAACACAAAAAGGAAAAACGTCTGAAAGAATTGGTTCTATTGCTCAACCAAATCAAGATAGAAATATGTTTAATTGCTTACACAAAGATAAACATGTTAGTCACTTATAACACCAAAGTACAGTGTGTTAATTCTATTTTCACTGTAAATTATGTGGTATCGTAACTTATGAATGTTTTTGCTTTACAGGAAATGGGCTTGTTGGAGGTGAAGCATGGTATGCTTCAGCTTGCAGAAACCTTAGATTTTCTCCATAACAATGCACACCTTATTCATCGGGCTGTATCTCCTGAGGTTACTGCTTGGCTTTATTTTTCTTCCCCCCCCAACCCCCTTTTCTGAACGTTTCTCTTTTGAGAATATTGGTGGTGTTAATTCTAAGATAGAGACTCTATTTTGATATACTGTTCTGAAGAACCAGTGGTGTTCTGTGGTCCGTCCCCTGGATAGTTACTTATTCTCTGCTTCTCATAGATCCTTATACAAAGTTCATCTTGTTTTCAGTTTAATTTTGTTTTGGCCTAAACTTTCTCACTGCCTTGTTATCTACTTTTCATGGATGAATTACATAATCAAACAAAAAAAGTCTGTAATCTGCAATCCAAGGACGCTAGATTGCCTTATTTGGAGGAAATACATATGATTCTTTATATATTGATCAATGACAGTTTCTTACTTGCAGAATGTCCTAATTACATCAAATGGAGCTTGGAAACTAGGTGGATTTGGCTTTGCAATTGCAACAGATCATGCTTCTAGTGATTTGGCTAATGGGCAGGCTTTTCATTATGCTGTGAGTTAAAACATTGATATTTGTAGGAATAAATGTCTATCTTCCTTCTGTTCCTTCTTACCACCAAAACAAGAAGATGGAAAAAAATAAAAAAGAAAATCGGTTCTCACACCTGAACCTCTTTTGATTATTGTTTATTGGTTTTAAGGTGCTACTTTGTCTTACTCTTTGTCAACTGATTGGCCACCTTAGTGACAGCTATTTTGAAAAGATTCTGCTTTGCTGTCTGGGGCTTGTGTTTATATTTCTTTTTCATCTTTTTTGGATCTCTCTTTTCTGAGCTTTATTATGGTCTTCCGATGTAACAAAAAACCATGGTTGATGTTTTTTTTATCATTAAGTTAGTCAGATTCATTCACGTCCATTATAAAACTAAATTAAGTACGCTGTCTGGTAATGAGCAATATCTAGCTATTTTCTTCTGACTCAATGTGGACCATACAGGAATATGATGTTGAAGATTCTGTTTTGCCCCTTCAACCATCATTGAATTACACTGCACCTGAAATGGTTCGGAGCAAATCGCCTTCTGCTGGATGTGCTTCTGATATTTTCAGTTTTGGATGTGTTGCCTACCACTTAATTGCTCGAAAGCCTTTATTTGACTGTCACAACAATGTTAAGATGGTAACAATTTAAGTTTTAATCTTTTTGAAGTGGGTTATTGATTTTATTTTGTAGTTTAAATCTGGGAAATAGTTTTTAGTTTAACTTTTATGTTTTTCCAAAGAAGATTCTACCTTTTAGCTCTCTCCTCTCTTTCAACATGCATTATCATGGGAGAGCCTGATGCTATGTTTTTCATCCCATCTACTAATTTTTTGGAATCCTCATCTATGAAATATGGTCACATTCTCTATTCTAAATTCCCTTTCCTTTTTTTAATCTGTTTTCAAGTCCTGTGGTTGATTTATGTGTTTCTCTCCTGCAGTACATGAATACTTTGAATTATTTATCCAATGAAGCTTTCTCCTCTATCCCACCGGACTTAGTTCCTGACTTGCAAAGGATGCTATCTGCAAATGAGTCTTTCAGGCCATCAGCGATGGATTTTACAGGTAAAGTGAAGGCTGCCAACCTCATCATGTCATGTTTATCTTTTGCTATTTATATATAGAAGAAAACCAAAATAGAATTTTGGGTTGGACAAACTAGATCCTTTCCCCTTTCAACTTGACCAAACATCCCTTTTTGAAAGAATGTTATAAGTGTGCTTATCTCTTTAAATAAGTTCTAGACTTTTGAGCACATTTTTATTAGCATGGAGCAGTTATGAAGAGCAATTATGATTTTGGATTGCATTTATTAATTATATAGTATGAGCAGACCACATAGATCCAGGGGATTGCTCTTATAGTTAAATACTTAAGTTGAAGGGAATTATAATGGTTTGGCTGACTCTAATGTCTAGACTCTGTCTGTAGTCTTGTGTGTGGTGCCTTGCCTTTGATTGTTCTCGTGACCATTCACATTATCAAAGATGTTGGACCATAGTATGATTTGCCAGTTTACGCCCCATTATAAGATGATCTTATACTCCCAATTTTTTCCTGACATGAAATGTGTAGAATTTTGTATGGATATTCCTGGCCATTTGCATGCTGGACTAACAATTATTTGTCTCTTATATTTGGATAGTTGCCGACTTTAAGATTCATATCCTATTTTTGCAGGTTCTTCATTTTTCAGGAATGACACTAGGTTGCGTGCTCTTCGCTTCCTCGACCACATGCTTGTATGCATTTTAGAATTCTATCTTGACTAATAATGCTCTGGGGATGGGGTCAGCTAGAAGCATCAATTGTGTTTGAGGGAAATAAGTGTGGTGGAAATTGTGCATTCATGGGTGGAAATTTGTTTTCTTGCAGGAAAGGGATAACATGCAGAAGTCTGAGTTCTTAAAAGCATTGTCTGATATGTGGAAAGATTTTGACTCTCGTGTACTTCGTTATAAGGTTTGAGGCATTTCTTTTCCCACTTTTTTGAGTTATTATATTCTTCTTAATATTTAATATGATTTAACATTTGGGAATAACTTCAAGGAATTTATTGTGGAACTTGGGAATAGTGTTTATCTTCCTGATGGAAACAGGTTAAAGAAACAGAGTATTTAAGCTGGAAATTAGATTTGTAATCAGTAGTCTTTTATCAGGAATAAGTAAAAAACATAATAAACTCCTAACTCATTTGACAAGACCTAATAACTTGCAAGTGACCCATGTTGAACCCCATGCCAAAAGATTTAAAATTAACCAAAATACCCCTAGCTATAAAACCTTAAGAAAATTAAGGTTCAGCAACTTTGTTTATCTCGTAGAAAAATGAAGAAAGAGGAGAATAAACTTGATCCAACCAAACAAAATCACTCAGTCAACTATCAAGGTTATATCTGTCCTAAATTGAGTTTGGAAATTAGGTTGTAATATTTATGGGTACTTGTGAACCTTCACTTATTTGTGTTGGGTGATCTTTCCATGAGGATTTATGACATTTAAATTTTGTAGTATCTGCAAATTTTTGCCAATATCTGTTTCTGGGTTGCTAATTTCTATGCTGGCTTGCATACAATCATCTTTTCTGTTGCAGTCAGCCGGCTTGAACCATCCAATGAATAACATTTTCTTTCAATGCAGGTACTTCCACCTCTTTGTGCAGAACTACGGAATTTGGTAATGCAACCAATGATTCTACCCATGGTTCTCACAATTGCGGAGTCACAGGTACTAGTTCTTTTCTAACAGCTGTTGGCATAATTTCCTTTCATGACCTGCAATATCCTCTTAACCATTCCAGGTAAAACAAACTGAGTTTCAAGGCCTTAGACAAAGCACCTTTTCCTATGTGATATTAAGATAATGTGAAACTTTTCTTTTAAGTAGTGCTGAAACTCATCATGCTATAAACTTTGGCCATAGGTATCTATATGTGCCTCTTATATTGATCCTTAAATGAGACAATCTCCATCAATATTTTTTACCTATAATCATGCATTGTCATTCTGATTAAAATAATGAATGTGTGGGAATTTATTGCAGGATAAAAATGATTTTGAACTAGTTACACTGCCAGCTCTTGTTCCTGTACTAAGTACTGCTGCAGGAGAGACACTGCTGTTGCTGGTTAAGCATTCAGAACTTGTTATCAACAAGGTGACTGATAGTAGCATGCTAACTTAATTCATAGATATATATTCTTTTAACTTCTGTTTTCTTTTTCTTTATTTTCTCTTTCTTCTTCTATGTATATGTTGGAAGAAAGCTTCTTCTGTTGTACTTGAGCTTACGTTGTCATCCTTCCAACCCCACTCTTTCTTTAATGAAATATTTAGCATGTTAAACCAGGAACCCTTTTTAATTGGCCAAAAGAAGAAAAAAAAGTAGGAACCCTTATTAACTTTCACTTATCTGATTATTTTAGGTCAGTCAGGAACTCTTAGTATTGCATGTCTTGCCAATGCTTGTTCGAGCTTATGATGATCATGATCCACGAATACAAGAGGAGGTTTTGAAGAAATCTTCATACCTTGCTAAGCAACTTGATGCTCAGGTGAGTGACCCTAGCTGATTTTCATTTTTCTTTTTATTATAGGGTTTAGAGTACTGTTTAGTCAGAAGATGGTTTTCATTACCTTGATTTCTATTAAATAATACTGGCCATAAACTTTGGAGCTGTTCAATGGCATCATAGATAGCAAAGGTATCTCATGTACAGTAATTTCAACAGCAGATTGACACTGTTGGCTTTCTTTTGCTGAAATTTACATGATATAGTTTACTTGAGTTGTTGCTTACATAAAGATTGTATTTATTGGGCCTCTTTCTTACAGTCCATGCACTTGATAATTAGAACCCAAAATCTATGATTGTACTTCTGCTACAAGAGAAGTGGAAGATATTGTTGAAAGAGAAATATGGTATTAAACCATTTCCTATAAAAGTCAAATGTATTATTACAAGTGTTGTCATCAAGATCTATGTATTTTGAGTTCTCTTTTTAGTTAATGTCCTTGTTGACATGTCCTGTGGGAGAGATGCTAACTATTTTGTTTTCAATTATTTTTATCCCCTTTCAGCTTGTGAAACAAGCAGTTCTGCCTCGTGTTCATGGCTTAGCTCTTAAAACAACAGTTGCCGCGGTATGTATGCATTTCTGTGGTAATTAAAATATTGTGCTTTTGCATGATATCGTATCAGTTTGCTCTGTCACTGGCATTAGAATGTTTTTCATAAATGACACTTATTTTGATGTTTTGTTGATGCAGTAGACTGCTGTGTACTATCATATAATTACAACACTTTTATCTGTGTACTATCATATGATAAGTTGTCCCTTGTAGAAAAGTAAATTGATTCTTGGTTAGGTTAACAGGAGGTTTGTCTGTGCATCATCCTTGTTTTGTCAAGAACACCATTGCTGCCTTTGAGAATCTAGAATAACTTTAACCTGCCATTAATTTAACTTTGTAGTCTTTAAATGCTTGTTTCTAGGGAGATATCTGAATTTGAAGTTCTTAACTTCTGGTATTCAAACTATTAAAATTTAATTTGGGGAAAAGGTAAAAGAAAGATACATTTTAAAAAATTTTCAAGTATTGAGTTTTTCTCCTAATGGAGTTAAAATGTCAATAAATGAATAATAGATGCTTTATTTTCATGAATCTTCTTATTCTCAGAAGCTTTAATAGAAACCCTTTTGGTTGTTGGCCTAAAAAATAAAAATAAAATAAAACATTTTCTTTGGTTTCTGTGAGCAGGTGAGAGTCAATGCTTTACTATGCTTAGCAGATTTGGTTCACACACTTGATAAGCATTCTGTGCTGGACATCTTGCAAACTATTCAACGTTGTACTGCTGTTGACCATTCTCCTCCTACCCTTATGTGTGCCCTAGGAGTTTCTAATGCAATGCTCAAGCAGGTTAGTATAATGACCTGTTTTTAAATTCATTAGCTTGTTCGAGAGGGTTGGTGACATTATAGTTGATCTTTTCTGTTCATTCATATTGTTCAGTTTGGAGTTGAATTTGTGGCAGAGCATGTACTTCCGCTACTCACACCTCTTCTAATAGTCCAACAGCTGAATGTTCAGCAGTTTGCCAAATATATGCTCTTTGTCAAGGATATTCTTAGGTATACCCATCCTCATTGACCCATTCTTTCCCCCTTCCCTATGAGAAATCCAGTTTTGCGTATCTATGTTCCTGCAAATATAAAAGAATCTTGTTTTTCATATTTCTCAATTAGTCGTTGGTTTATACCTTTCCTGAGGGGCTTTTGTTTGTAATTGGTTTTTACACAGGAAGATAGAAGAAAAAAGAGGTGTTATTGTTACTGATTCGGGAACTTCAGAAGTAAAGCAAGCATCCATTGCCAACAGTCTTCAGTCTCAAAGCATAAGCAAAACCAGTGTTGCTTCAGCAAAAAGTAGCAAATCTTGGGACGAGGACTGGAATTCTACTGCTGCTAACCCCGCTACTTCCAACCAGCCTTTTGCAAACAACAGCTCATCAAGGCATGCTGTTTTGGATGATCAATTAATTCAATCAGCTCCTGTTCTGTCACAACCATCTATTATATCTGCTTTATCTAGTCAGCAAACGTCTAATTCATGCCCTGCGGTTGATATAGAGTGGCCTCCTCGGATCTCTTCAGGTGTTGCCCCTCAATCAGGTCATGGCAAGATGCAAGCAAATGCAGGGGAATCTTCTATTTCAACGTTGGATGATATAGATCCTTTTGCTAACTGGCCTCCACGACCTAGCGGCACTTCAAGTGGTTCTGGGGCTCTTGCCAATGGTACCGTGGGAGCACCAATGAACAATTATGTATCCGGTCTGACCAGTAATTCACTAGTCAGTATGAACTTCCAAACAAATAACAGTAATATTTGGGACTTAAACAACCAAAGCTCGGGGGAGCCTCTAAGAACAGTTCAAGGGAGTTCAAGCATGAATTCAAGTATTTCAAATAGTGGGAGCCTAAATCCTCAGAACTCCATTGGTTTCGTGAGGCAGAACCCAGGGATTTCTTCCCTTGGAGGTTCTTTGTACAATGATAAGAAATCTGCAGATCTTGGTTCTATATTTAGTTCTATCAAGAATGAGCAGGCTGCTCCTAAACTTGCTCCACCTCCCACCACTTCTGTGGGTAGAGGAAGAGGTCGAGGGAGGGGATCCAGTACAACCCCAAGAATGAGCAATACCAAGCCATCCACCTCTGAACAACCACCTCTTTTGGACTTGCTTTGACAGGTAAGTGTTGCTTTTGAGTGGAACCTCAAAGTGAGATCTAGAAATGAGATTTTGTTGGTAGAGCATCAGTTCGATGCTGTACAGTGTTGGCCGGTTGTGAAAACAGATGCATTCAAGGATGCCGTGCTTGTTATCTAATAGTTGGTTCTTTGTGAGTGCCTAAAGCACAATGTAATTTAACCCTTGAACAGGTTTCCCTTCCTTTTTCTTTTTTTTTTTCCTTTTTTATTATCATCTATTTCTTGTGAATTTTTGTACTGCTTCACGAGGAGCCCCATGTTTTGTTCATTGCATAGATATATGTTGTTGCCCTTGTAATGTATTTTTCTTAAAACAGTCAGTGATTGGCTAAGAAAATAATATAGAAGAAGAAACAGATAACATTGAGTCATTACTTTAAGTTCTACATTCAGGCATGGAACAGTAGAAGATTCTACTCTGAAACTTCCTCAGCCTGATATTTCCAGATTTTAGGGTAGTGAAGGCCTCGGGATTCCTTTACGTTGAACTATCTCATTCCTAGATGTTTGGAAGATTAGTCATTATGTTGATCATGAAGCTATAACAGTCTCTGTTGATTTGTTTTATGGTAAGGTAAATTCTTATTTCAAACCCATCATAATATGGCTCTATACCTGCTCCCAAAATTTGCCAAACTAACCCGCCGCCAATACTGGGCTCCATTTCTTGCGAAGTTCCTTCTAGACAGCGAGTTCAAGGGAGAAATTGCGACTTCAATGGTTTGTTATAAATGGTTGAAATTTTGAGAAAGTAATAGTTTCTTCTTGTTAAAAATTTGAGATTTTAGGTTGAAAATTTCATATTCAAATTTTAAAATAGGTGATAATGGAAGGATTACATTAGTAAAGTTGTATGTAATGATAATATTTTAACTTTTTAAGGAGGCTTTGTTTTAATAAAAATATTATTGTGTAATTTAGATTATGTTGATTGTATAATTTAAATCATTAGATGCAGAGCACACTTCTTAATATTGGATTTTTCTCTTCATTTCATAGTTTATGTTTTATTTTATTTATAGTCTACAATGTAAAACATAATTCTCTTATTTCATTATTTAGAAAACAATTGTTGGATAATCCCAAGGTCGGATCCATGGTAAACAATTCTATTTTGTAGTTTAAGTTTTGGAGATAATACTCAAAGAAACTAATTTCTTAAACGTAATAAGTTAATATAAAGAGTGCACTTTAAAATTATTTGAAAAGAGATTAATTTCAAGAGA